ACAACGGTGACACTTGGCGGTGGGGCTAACGGTGGATGTACCGAGGCCACCAGACCGTTGGTGTCTCATGCCATGCTGAATCGGAACACAGAAGTGACACTTGGCGTTGGGAGGCCATGGCCCCACTGGTGATGTAGATTGATGATGATTGATGTAGTGTGCTCAAATATGGGACCTAATATGGGAGCCTTTATACGACCCTACCAGTCATCAATGTCTGACATATAGTTACCGCTGGGCTTGCCACTAGCCTCCGATTGTTCGATCGCAATAGGCTGAATCGCGTTGATGATAAAGCACACGAGCCTAATAACGGAAAAATGGTCAATTACGAAAGTACACTCTCTGCGACATGACATGACATGAGATGACATGACATGTATGCGCATGCCCCCAAAAGTTTAAAAGGGTACATGCACACACACACAACCACATACGGTACGTATTTCATATTACCCTCATCATATGTCAGTCCACAGCTGGTCGTGCTGGTCCTGATTCGCTGAGGCGCCTTATCGGTCATACAAACTTCTCAGCATCACAGGTGTGGGTAGCACCGGGTAGCAGGTTTCGCTGGGGGCCTGGATCAATGGGGTCTACGGTTGGTTGCTTTACAACGAGATAGGCTCTGAAAAAGGACGTCGATGCTGCTGCAACATGCAGCTCAGAAAGTGTATTTGCACACTTTCGATGTGGCTACATCTCAATTCCTTAGAGATACGCCGTGTTCATCAATTGTGTTTATGTGTTTTTGGATGCATGGAGATTTCATTGACGGCTTGGTCCATGCATTCTTCGTGACTTCCACCCCACCTTCAGATGTTGTCCTTCCTCAACCAGTTCTTCCAACCAGGGACTTATGACACTTGGCACTTGGAGGGTGGGTGACTCTACCGGGAGGGTGGCAAGACGCTGATTGGATGGTCTTCACTCAGGAGACTTTCTGCAATGCTTGGGGAAAACACATGGCATTATATAATTCTCTACTCCATACTTGTAGCAAACCTGGAGACCCTTTGTCTAGTGACAAATATAAGACTTCTAGCCAAGTTCCAGTAGATGGATGTAAATGGTGCAGGCATCCCATTATTGTGTTGTATGAAGGACATGCAAGCGGCATCATCCTATTTTTCCTGGCCATTTCTTCCTTTAATCTGATAAGCCGTTTGTCGTCCGCCACACGGTCCACGGATATGCGTTTGAACTTTGCCAAGGATCTCATTTGCAAAAATTGCAATAGCTTCTCAGATTGCGTTCGGCAGCCTAGAGTGCAAACACGTTGGAATTCCAAAGAGTAGTGGCGAGCTGAAGTCGGGAAACGATAGTCACCATTCGAAGTTGAGAATTGTGTGAGTCTCCATAGCTTCCGATTTCGATCCAGTGGATATGCAATAGAGGGGTTCTTTCAGAAACACTTAGGCCCTCTATCTCCTTTTGGGCCAGCGATTAGAGGCCGCAACGGATGGGTTGAGAGAATTCACTGAGAGCCAAAGGATGAACCAGTGATGAACCCTCAGCATTTTGTTGCCGGCTGGTTCCAACCTCCACCCCTCCCACTTTTCAGGCGAAGTACTCGCGAATGGAGAAGACTGGAAAAGCAGGGCAGCGTCTTGGACATATGGCCCAGCGAATCAGAGATTTGTGGAAGCGGTGCTTTGACAGATTCATAAAGCACGACAGAAAATGGTACAAAGGCTTTTGAAAGACTAAGCATCCAGCACCCAAAAGCATCCATCATCCATATGTGTACATATATGAGATCTAGAAGTATACATGAGTGTGCAGCACCAAGGAGCATAGGCATCCAGAAGCATCAGTCAGCATTAGATTTTATATATTAAAGGTCATGGCGTCAACAAAGTCTCTGCAAAATGGAGAGCTACAGTTACAGGACATTGCAAATGGATGAAGCCACAAGAATAGAAAATCTATTGAAGTTGGGAACATCCAAGCACTCAATTGTATCCCAAACCGAAGACCATTAAGCTCCTGTTGAAACTTTGGGCCATGAGGGTTCCATGCTTCGTCAATTCGGATACTAGGAGATTGTCCAGAGAAGATGCATCAGAAAGCATCGCTAGCCTTACTCTTGCCATGTAAACATATAACATACGATTATTTATTATATATAATTTTGTGAGTATATGTATGATTATAATTGATTATATCATATGATCACACACACATATATATATACATACATACATTACATTACATTGCATTGCATTGCATTGCATTATGTTACATTACATTACATTACATTACATTACATAACATAACATAACATGCATGCATGCATACATACATACATACATACATACATACATACATACATACATACATACATACATACATACATACATACATTATTATCATTATTATTATTCTTTAATTAGTATTGGTATTATTGTGATATTATTGTTATTATTGTTTGTTTTGTTTATTATTATTTGTTTGGTTTATTGTGATTATTACTATTATACATGATATATGACCATATATGATATATGACTATATATAATATATGACTATATATGATATATGACTACTAGTACATATGATATTTGACTATATATGATATATGACTATATATATATACATAATACAGTGGTTATATGTATATATATATACACATTATTAGATATGCATGAACATGTATATATATATATATACATACGTTTATACAGACTGTAGGCAATCCACAAAGCAAGCACTAATTCCCGTCGGCTTCCACAAAGCATCAATGGAATGCAATGGAACCAATGTGACCAGTGCGACTGTTGCAAATCAGGAAGAGAATTGGCCTGATGTCCGCGCTGCGTTTGATCGGCGCCTTGGCTCACATGGATCACGTGCACTTTGAGTCGAAGATGACATGTGAGATGCCTCGGCTCCATTACGAAGCTTGAAATCCCGCATTTTGAATGTCGAAGATGTGCATAATTAACTACAGTGGAAATCCCACATGACAACATCTTTACTATCATTCTAGGTATCAGTGTATTGTAGGGCATTCTGTATGGAACGGTGCTGAATATGGCTGGGAAGCCTTCAATAAGCACCTGGTGAGCAGAGTGATCACAGGCATGAACTACAAGGCCAATCCAGCATCGCAGAACTTTCAGGTGTGGCGCGGTGGGATCCTGCTACGCTGGAAAACGACATGTTTTCACCATTTTTTGATGAAAGGTCTGAAAAGTTATCAATTTATCTTGGCAGGGTAGCCATGGAGGCAGGTGTTGGCGTTTTGCCATGGAGCATGATATCTTCTCCAGACACATTGGATATCAACTGGGCCTTGGATGGCCCTTGGTACTTCAAGATCCATGCCTTGGAGTGCCGGTGTAGGTAGATGAAGTTCTGGCGAAGACGGACATCTACATGAGAGGACATGGAGTTCGAGGGCACCCCAAGCTGGAGGACTGGGATGCAATGGGATGTAATGGGATGTAATGGGATTCAATTAATTCAAAGTGATAGAGTCTATCTTCAAGACATGAATCGATTCATGCTTGTTCATTGGGTTCATTTCTTGTCTGTTTTCGGCGTGAGAAGGCAGCTTTCCCCCTTTGCGCCCAAGTTGGGAGGGAATGCTTCCCCGTAAGTTTGCTCGGTGCGAGTTCTTTGCAGTTGATGTTTTTGTTGTTCAGTAAAAACATCTAAACATGTGAACTGACATGACTGGTTCAAAATGGAAGCAAGTAGGACGACTATGGCACTTTTGCATTTTTCGCTGCTAGAAGTTAGGCTAGAAGTATGTCATCCCAATTCAAAGTGCAACCAGACCCTTGGATGAAGGATATGGACCAATATGCAAGCACACCTCGCGTGTGTTGCTGCTGAATGAGTCATGAGCCCACTCCGTGGGCTGCGTCACCTGCCCACGGACATTTCATCACCATTTGATCTACAACAATTGCGATGTTGGATGGGGTGTTCCCCCATTTCAAGAGCCCATTCAGTGGCCAAAGCCAGCAAGCAGTCTCTTGAAGAGACTCTCAAAGAGGCACAAGCGCATGATTTGCAAGTGTGACAGATTGACATCGTACAGCAGGAAATTTCCCAGCAAAAACTAGTAATGAATAGTAATGGGGTTTCTCATAGCCGCAGTTTCAGGGGTGATTGAAACCCGTAATTTTAGAAGGGATAACAAGAACAGCTTCGAAGTCAATCGCTGCGTGCCTAGCTTCACAACCATGAAGCAGCAGCCAGCTTGCCCAAAGAGGTGACGTGGAGGCTTGGTGGAGAAGCTGTATTCATCATCTCCTCAAACATTTGCTGAAATTCAAAGGTTCCGCGCTTGCCCAAAAATGATTATGTGAGAGGATTCACGTTGATATTCAATGATATTCGTAGATTTGCCCAAATTTGCGGAGGATCTAAATCTAAAGCTTGAATGATAGGCTTCCTGTGGCCCCCTGCCATCAATCCTCAAGCAGCCAGAGATTTGAAGAGCTCTGTCTAGTGACCTGGTCCCAGCCAGCTGTGATGTGCAGTGATGAGTAGGACAGCATGGGCCTTTCAAAGCTTTTCAGTGATGGTTTGAAAGGGAATAGGTGTGTTTTTAGAACTTTGAATAGGCCAAGCAAGTTGGAAATGCATATTTGATATGCCCAAGAATTGCGCCAAGGACATCCGGAGTCATTTTTCAAAGATTGTGGGTACCATAGACAAACCTTGGGCCATTTTGAGCATTTCACGGCGCTGGTGTTTCCAGTTGTCTTGACTCACCTGTTGCGCTTTGCAACATCCACAGCGCCGTAAAGCGGCGCCCCACGGCCATGCGTGCCTTTCAACCATCAAAAAGGTTCCTAAGATCAGCGTCGAGCGAACGACGTTTTGAAGCTCGGTGTAGCCTGCAGTTGAGGATAGTGACAGATGTGAAATTCCCATGTTGAAATCATTTAAAATCCATTTGACCCAGAGTGACCTGGCACTCCGCAGGTCATCAACCGGAAGCTGACAGATGCGGCAGGAAAAGGCGGAGCTGATCTCTTGAGCTCCCGAGCTGATCGTTTTTAAACCATGGATTCCATGGATCTCGCCCAGGCGGTCGGGGTGTGTATGGACCTCAAGCGGGTGACCATGGCTTCATGTCATGTACTTGTTATATATATATATATTATTATATATTTATAGACATAGTATATATATATATGTACAAATACATATATATATATAGAGAGAGCTATTTATTTGTCTATATATCTATTTATTTATGAACTTCTGTGACTTATATGATACTTGTTTTTTATTTCTCTCTATACCGTAAATACTAGACACATAAGGGGGAATTCTGTCAATATTGAACACTGAGCTGTCGAAAGGTTCCACCACCCGCCAAGGCTGGAAGTGGTACGAGTTGAGCTCGATCACATGTTGGGAAATCTCAGTCTGCCAGGGCATTGAGCATCGCGCGAGGGTGCCCACTCTCCCACACCCCAACTGTTGTAAATGGGAAATCAGAAAGGCAACCAGTGGGTCTTGCGGTACAAGTCTTTCTGACAGAAAGTCTCCTTGAGCTGAGCCCGAGGAACGGTGTCAACCTGGCCACAGCGCTTCATCGTATAGCCCGGCGCTGCGTCGAAAATGAGGCGGTTGGAATGGAGGAGCAGACAGCAATATTATTATCATTATCGAAGGAAGTTTAGAAGTCAAACTTCCGACAATATGGACACATGAAAAGCAGAGATGGGAAGAGTCAGAGAAGAGAAGAGAAGCGAAGAGAAGAGAAGAGAAGACAGAAATTCAGAAGAGAAATTCAGAAGAGAAATTCAGAACAGAAATTCAGATGAGAAATTCAGAAGAGAAATTCAGAACAGAAATTCAGATGAGAAATTCAGAAGAGAAATTCAGAAGAGAAATTCAGAAGAGAAATTCAGAAGAAAGACTTTCCAGGTGCGCGAAAAGGTAGGAAAGTCGCAATTCATTATATTTTTCAAATGATTTGTGGCTCCGCAGGGTGCCAGATGAGAGATGAAAAAGTGCACGCCATTGTGGCGCGAAGCACATTTGCAAGTCAACATGTACAAAACACTTCAGCTTCGGACCACTTTTGGAAGTTGAGATGTCGAAAAAGTGCACGCCATTGTGGCGTGAAGCACGCTTCCAAGTCAAAACGTACAAAGCACACCAGCTTCGGACCACTTTTGGAAGTTCAGATGTCGAAAAAGTGGACGCCATTGTGGCGTGAAGCACGCTTCCAAGTCAAAACGTACAAAGCACACCAGCTTCGGACCACTTTTGGAAGTTCAGATGTCAAAAAAGTGCACGCTGTTGTGGCGCGAAGCACATTTCCAAGTCAAAAGTGGAAAAAACTGAGGGGTTCGGAGCGCTTTTGGACGTTCAGATGTCGTTTTCGCGTGGCCGGCGCAAGAGATTGTGCACCTTGACAAAAGCGAGCAAAAACGTGCGGGTTCTGTAGCAGTTTCACTACACTACACTACACCACACTACACTACACCCAACTACAACTACAACTACAACTACAACTACAACCACAACCACCACTACCACTACCACTACAACTACAGTACACTACACTACACTAATTACATTACACTACACTCCACCCCACTCCACTACACCACACTCCACTCCACTAGGCTCCAATACACTAACTACAACTGCAACCACAACTACAACTACACTACATTACGCTGTGCTAATTACGCTCCACTCCTCTTCACTACGCTACACTCGATTACACTACACTACACTACAACTACATCTACAACTACACTACGCTACACTAATTACATTACACTACGCTAATTACATTACACAGCACTACGCTACACTCTAATATTACACTACACTCTACTCCACTACACTACGCTACGCTATATTACAACACACTGCACTACACTACTCTACACTACATTACACTACACTACGTTACACTAAACTACACCTGCAACTATAACGACAACGACAACTACAACCACAACGACAAAGACAACTACAACTACAACTACACTACATTACGCTACACTGCGCTACACTCCACTCCACTACACCGCACTACACCAGACCAGACCAGACTAGACTAGACTAGATTACATTACAGCACGCAACACTACAGCACACTACACTACATTGCATTGCACTGCACTCACTACACCACACCACAACTCAACTACTACAACAACTGCACCACACTAATTTCACTACACTACAACTAGAACTACAGCTGCACTACACCACACTACTTCCAGAAGTTGTGGGTGAGGTGACCACTGCAACCATGGCAACCACTCAAAAAACACAACTCCAACCACCTTTCGGTCCATCAGTGGATTCGCTCTGCCATCCATGCATCACAACAACTCACCTCTCCTATAGTGTCCTATCTTTGAAACTTTCGCCACCGCCTTGCGCGGCACTACTGGTAGGATGAGGATATAGGTGGCATTTGTAATGACTACTGGGTTGTTTCTTAATGGCACCCAAGCACTACGAATGACAATTCGGCAATCTCTGGTTTCATTGACATGGCGGCATCCCCCTGCGGGAACGTGGGGTTTTGCCTTTAGGCTTAGATGTGTAGTGATTGTATTCTAATGGTCTGTGCCTTTGATGTGGACTTTGGCCAATTGTTTGGACCCTCGCTGCTTGAAACTCTCGTGAAAACGTGAACCAAATTTCGTAACCCTTCAGCATTCCTTGGATTCAACAGTGTTTTTTAGGATCTTCTTGAAAGACTGAAAAACAAGTAGTGCAAGTCCAGCTATTACCTTCAATGGCCGCTCAATGCTTCGATGGTCGGGCCCTGCCAGGCGGAACATTCAGCAAGCAGCCAACAGGCCAGGATTCGGAGCAAAGAAAAGCAGGTCTTGCGCGGAAGTGTTTCTAGCTCTGATTTGACTACGGTTCCAATCTGGGATACCCATGGATACCCCGTTGCGCAGGCGATCAAAGAGGTCCTAGCTCACCCAGCCTTCCCGGCCTGAAGTCCTGGGGGTCCGCTGAAGTACCCAGCATTTAGGCAACTGATGGCAATTGGATCCTAGATATTCCTTAAGATCCTTAAGTTTAATATGATTTAATAGCATTGAATTTTTATCAAAGATATAAATCATATCAAGATCATCGGTTTCTAGCTGGACGCATGCAGAAAACGAAGAAATTCAGAGTTTGGGCTCGGAGTGTGGAAGTGTCCATTTGGGTATTTTCGGACGTCACCTTCTGATAGTAGTTGTGAATGGTTGTGCGGTGTTTGTCTGGAACATGTATCTGAACCTGGAAAAAGAAGCTAAGGCTCTGCTAGCAGCAGTCGAGCGAAGCAGCAAAGAATCACTGGCCGGTAGGGAGGCGCACCTCTTTTTCCCAGAATGATGCTACTTCTGAGAAAGTGAGCAAGTGCAGGTTGCACCATGTTGCGTTCAGTAGCAACACATATTGAAATGAGAAATCGAGCAGCCGGCATCGACCGGAAATGAGGAAGTTGAGGAAGTGTGTGCTTTATCAAGAATGAACTGATGCAGTGTTTCCGACACATTCCGACACTAGTTTTGGTACACACGTATATCCTTTTAAGCTGCAGGCAGAGGATATCTACATGCCCGCACAGTCAGCAACTCAAATGGTCAAGCAGTGATTGCTTCGTTGGAGTCTCACAGTGCCAGTTGATGGAAATTGCTAGCTGGTCCCTCATATGCTCCAAAATGAATATTCTACTGCTACTGCTGAAATATGCCGAAATTCATTGAAATTCCATTACTACGCTTCGCCCCTGGCAAACAGGTGCGCGAGCATCGTTGCCTGGAGTTTAGCATGGCTGAACTTGCGACAGTCGAAGCTGTTTGCTGTCCTTGGGGAGGCAAGACGGGGGTAGATACGGTGCAGTATTCACCTGTAGCATCCTGCAGCAATGCTGTAGTTGTTTTCATATGCGGTTCAAGTGTGAGGGGACTATGACTAGACTATGACGCTTACTAGCGATACACACTCGTGAAAATCCAGGAAGGAGGCAGTGAGAGAACATCATACATCGAGCTTGGCCTGCTCAAGCAAATTTGAAAATTGCTCATGTGGCAACACAACCATTTACTCTCCAACCAAC